TTGTAGAATTCTGGTGTAATCGCAGTCGCAGTCGCAATCGCAATGGCATTTGCAGTGGCAACGGCAGTCGCAGTCGCAGCCTCAGCCTCAGCCTGCCTCAGCCTCAGCCTGCCTCAGCCTCAGCCTCAGCCTGCCTCAGCCTCAGCCTCTGCCTAGTAGTAGTAGTAGTAGTAGTAGTAGTAGTAGTAGTAGTAGTAGTAGTAGTAGTAATAGTAGTAGTAGTAGTAGTAGTAGTAGTACTAGTAGTACTAGTACTAGTAGTAGTACTAGAGTAGTAGTAGTACTAGTACTAGTACTAGTAGTAGTAGTAGTAGTAGTAGTAGTAGTAGTCGTAGTCGTAGTCGTAGTAGTCGTAGTCGTAGTAGTAGTAGTCGTAGTCGTAGCAGTAGTAGTAGTAGTAGTAGTAGTAGTAGTAGTAGTAGTAGTAGTAGTAGTAGTAGTAGTAGTAGTAGTAGTAGTAGTAGTAGTAGTAGTAGTAGTAGTAGTAGTAGTAGTAGTAGTAGTAGTAGTAGTAGTAGTAGTAGTAGTAGTAGTAGTAGTAGTAGTAGTAGTAGTAGTAGTAGTAGTAGTAGTAGTAGTAGTAGTAGTAGTAGTAGTAGTAGTAGTAGTAGTAGTAGTAGTAGTAGTAGTAGTAGTAGTAGTAGTAGTAGTAGCAGTAGTAGTAGTAGTAGTAGTAGTAGTAGTAGCAGTAGTAGCACCAGTAGTAACATGCAGGCGCTGCAAGACGTGTCTGCATCAGTGTTTTCATCGCTCTGCAGTGTCTCCCTACTGCGTTGGTCTGTACCATCGTTTGCACAGCAGCAAAACTGCATGCAGGATGCAGACTGAGGCGCCCCGTATCTCATTACCCACTGAATTGTTTGCAAAGGAATCAGTGCTGCCCCATCAGCACCGACGCGTCCAGAAAAGCAACTGCTTCTCGCGGCGAGGGGGGGAGCCCCAGGGCGCCCCCCCCGTGACCGCTTCTCGCGGCGAGGGGGGGCGCCCCAGATATTTGCGGAGGTGGTCAGAACGCGCCCTGGCCAGAGCGCTCCCCCGTGACCGCTTCTCGCGGCGGGGGGGGCGCTCCAGAATCCAGAGAGGGAGACACAACGCGCCCCTCCAGGATGCCCCCCCGTGACCGCTGCTTGCGGCGGGGGGGCGCCCTGGAGGGGCGACGACGCCGAGAGTTGGCCGAGCATTCAAAATCATGCCCAGGAATGGAATTCTAGGAATTCGAAGAGCACGAAGTGGCCCACAGTTGGCTCCGGGCATTCAAAATCATGTTCAGGAATGGAATTCTGGGAACTCGAAGACCACGAAGTGGCCTACAGTTGGCTCCGAGCATTCAAAATCATGCCCAGGAATGCAGTTTGGGGAATTCAAAGACCACGAAGTGGCCTACAGTTGTCTCCGGGCATTCAAAATCATTTCCAGGAATGGAATTCTGGGAACTCGAGGACCACGAAGTGGCCTACAGTTGGCTCCGAGCATTCAAAATCATGCCCAGGAATGCAGTTTTGGGAATTCAAAGACCACGAAGTGGCCTACAGTTGGCTCCGGGCATTCAAAAACATGCCCAGGAATGGAGTTCTGGGACCTCGAAGACAACGAAATGTGTAACTGTTTGCTTAAAGCGACTTCCGCGGATTCTCCCCGGCACCCGTCCGGCATCTGCCCAGACCCCCCTGAGGAGTCATGATGTTTTCTTTTGAGACCATTAGAAACTTATCAGTCTTCGCTGTTAGGTAAAAATGGAACTTCCTGCTGTCCAGAGCTGCTCTCCGCTGCTGTGCACGGCTGGCCATTGGTGTTCATCGTGTACTCCTTGCTGTTCAAAGCTGCTCACTGCTGACCACTGATGCCAACGGCTCGCTGCCGAACCATTGCTTTGCAAGTCGGCGCTGAGGCAACGACGACGACGACGCCGGCGACGGTGACGGCGACGGCGATGACGGTGACGACGACAATCAGCACCACGACGCGGATCACGAGAAAAAACACATGATGAGGAGCAGGAGCAGGGGGAGGACCGGCGAGAGGCTGGGCAGGCAAAGGTGGCGGCGGTGGGGGGCGAGATGGCGGGATGGTCTGGCGTTGAACCCAAGAGGAGGAGAATCCACGAACCCCGTTGCAGGGTGCAGCTGGGGGTGGTGATGGCGGTGGTACTGGTGTGACGTGGTGGGGGCAAGCAAGAGTCGGAATCGCTCCCTCGCCGTTTTTTTGTTGCCCCGCCCTTACAGGCATCACCGAAGGGCTCGATTCCAGAGCCCCCACAGCGGGACTCGAGCCCCGTCCCCCCCCCCCCCCCCCTTCAATCCCTCCACCCCCGCCTCGTCCTTTCTCTTACAGTGGAGGCCCGTGCCAAGAAATACCCTGCCTGCCTCCAGGGTGCCTTGGGTTTCCTGGTCTTCGAGGGTTTTGCAGCGGAGAGCGTGGCGCTCCCACACCAGAAGTCAATGGACGCCCTGGGGTCTCAGGGTTGGGTTTCTTGTGGAAGGTTTCTTGTGGTCGGGCCCACTACAGGCGGCCCGGATTAGTAGGTCGACCTTGCCTGATCAAGGGTACCTCTGTGTCCTGTGCTTCGCGACCCATGCTTCGCACGTTCCTGGGGCGATGTGGCCCTCGAAAGGGTCTTGTGGCCTCTCGCGTGTCCTCTCCAATCAAGCCCGGCTGTGCTGTACTCCCTCTCCTCCTCCCCCTCGCTCCCCCCCCCCCTCCTCCCTTCACTCCCCTCGGGAGCCCCTGTGCCCCACGGCCGCCCCAAGACCGCCACCCCAGAGTTCCCCAGTCTCTCGGGCCTCTGCGGCAGGGGCCCGACCACAGGAAACCTTCCACGAGAAACCCCACCCTGAGACCCCAGGACGTCCACTTGCTTCTAGTGCAGGAGCGTCGCGCTCTCCACCGCAGAGCCATCGACACCCAAGAGACCCGGGGCACCCTGGAGGCAAGCAGGAGGGGGGCGCTTTCTTTTGTTCGAGCGCGCGCGGCGTGTTCCTCGGGTGGTCTCCCCGAGGTCTCCGAGGGCGTGATGCTTTCGATCCGGGCGTTTTTGTTCCTCGATCTCGGCCTCCGGGTACCGTTGTCGGGCACAGGGGCATCAGACGTGGATCTGGGACGAAGAGCCACCCCCAGGGGAGAAGTCCGGACCTTGGGGGCCGCGGATGGTTAACAAAATCGGATCGGAGGATGTTTAGGTCATGCGCGTATTTTGAATACGATCCTTGTCCAGTCGGATGCCCAGGGGGTCGCTGCATGCTCTGCGTTGCCGCACTGTTGAGCATGATCGATATGCTGACCCCGCAGCGCGTGTTGCTTGTCTTGCACTGGTCTTGGTATGTTGCGATTTGTTTTATAATCCAATATTCAATACAATTGGATCCAGCATTTTATGCAGAGCTCGCAGCCAGCGTCAAGAGCAACAGATGGCATACGTCTTGCGATGGAGATGTACCGCCTTGCGTTGTGCGAGCGTTAAGTGTCTCACTTCTATCCTGCGCATGCAGCTCGCAGACGGGGGGTCATTTGAAAGCGTTGCTTGTGGCGGCACCTGCAGCGTCCTATCTGCGCTGTCTTCGTGCGCCGATGTTGATCTTCCCGTAGCATCGATGGTTCTGGCATTCGGCAACAAATTTGGGCCAATCCGTTTGGCGGCCAATTTTTCTGGGTGCCCAGTCCTGCTTCCATGCTTCCCATACTTGTGGCGTCCATTGACCTGCCTGAGAGCAGACCCCACAATCATCTGCCTGCCAGCGTACCCGTCCGAGTTCGGTGGGTGGCCAGTCTGGTGATTTTTTGGCTGCGCTGCGCCAGTGGCCTTGGCACTCTTTGCTGGTGGCTGCACTTATAACCGTGCGGATACCACCTCTGGCAATGCTTGGGGAGTGTAGTCCACGCGTGCACGCGTTTTCCTGACGCGATAGGGTTGTGCTGTCAGCCATTGAGCGCGTTCCACTACTCGCAGAGTGCCCACTCGCAAAAGTCCGTCCAAATCACACATGCCTGCTTCGATGTAATATGCATCGTCGATCCCCTGCGGCGGATCCAGACCATCTGCGAGTAGTTACTGTGCGAGCAGTGGAACGCGACTGACCATGATGATTGCCAGCACGTTGGGTGTAGCGAGTTGTGTATATGATCGTGCTCCGCTTCCATCTCCTGTTCCTCCCCTTAAACAAAAAACATCGAGAACACATACCAAGAACGGGCCCTGATAGCGCACATCCATATCATCCCCCCAGCACAGACATCACGACTATACACCGACAGCGTGTACCGATGTCAGGCACCAAGAACAGTCAAATATTCCAGAGACCGAGACGAGAGCAAGAACGGACATCAATCAACGACATCAATCGCAGATGCCCGTTACATAGATGAACTGCATACGTCAAGAACAGGCGTCAATAACATGCAGCAACACGATACACCAACGATACATCGGACGAGCACGTATCAATCACATACATTAGCAAGGGCTATACATGAACGGCTGGCGGACAGCACAGACACACATTGTCGGCACTGCAGGCGTAAGCCTGTCAGACACCAGAGGCAATGATCCAGTGCCGACGCCTTTTTTCGTACATCAGCACCAACCATCAGCATCATGTACCAATATTGGGCGTCAAGAACACATATCAAGGACATGCATTCGTGATTACATTGAAGGGTCCACCCCCTGATACACTGAAACTCATTGGTGCGACTCGTTCGAAGCAGCATGTGATACGTGTTCACTGCTGTGCTCACCTCTCGGCTGTCTCTCCCCTCTCTCCTTCCCCCTCGCCTGCGTTGTCTCCGTCCTACTCTGTACTCGTGGAGCTTCCCTCATAGAGCCAGAGCGGGCGGACTCCGAGTCTCAGCTAAATGCTGGACACGTCCGTTGCTCCGAAGGTGTGAGTGCGAGTTTGCTTTTGGCGGGGCGCCGTCTTCCCCTGCCTCTTCCTCCCTCACCTCATCGTCCCTCTTCCTCTCGGTGTGCCTGCTGGTCTTTTCACGCGCCCGTTGGCTGGATCGCCTCAGGCAGTCCGCGCTTGCTCCCGGGCGCGGTCCTGGCGCGCGTCGAACACAGGACCGTGCCCTTGGGACGCCGCACGGTGCCGTGTGCGGTGTGCCCTGCAGTGATCCGCCACACGAGCGACGGGCGAAAACGGGGTCGGCTGCGCCGACCTCCGCGCGCAGGCCGGCCCGCGCGTCGGGCCGTGCGCCGGCGCCTCCGTTTTTCCACTGGTGGCGCGCCGTGCTCCGGCGGCCCGCGCAGGCCCGCGGCGTGAGGTTTCGTATGCCTTTGGGTCTCGTGCGTCGGGCGTCGTGGCGGTGCTGTGAGTCGTATGTGTGCCTCGTGTGCCTTCCTCCTCCTCCTCCTCCTCCTCCTCCTCCTGGTTATGCCCAGCGCCGCACAGGCGAACTCGGTGGACAGTGTCTCCCTCTCTCTGTGGACAGTGTCTCTCTCTCTCTCTCTCTTTCGCGTGGGGTCTCTCTTTTCAGGGCGTCGTGAGAAGAGCTGCACGGTTTCGGGTGGCGCTTGCAGAACATGTGTTGGCTGCTCCTGCAAGGTCATGGCAAGTCCGTGCTCGCACTCTCCCTCGGCCTCATGTTTTTCTCCCGTACTCGTCCTCTCCACGGTCTTACCCTGCTCGCTCGTAGTGTCCCAGTGCACGCCTGTTTGGGGCCAGGATGCTCCCAAAACTCAAACGGCTCTCCTAGCCGCTCGTGGCCGAGCGGACTCGGTGTAGCTCCTCTCTAGCCAGGCCCTGCCCCCTTCGTCCTGCTCCTCTTATTCTGCCGACTCCTCCTGCTCCTCCTCCGCCTCCTCGCCCCTCCTCACCCTGCGCCCACCTGAGACGCCTGGCTTCCCTTGTGCCTACCCCAGACATCCAGCCGCTCCACTTTTTTTTGATGCGTGGGCCCCGAAGGGCTGGACCACTTCCCCGGGGCCGGCTTTTCGTCCTGAGTTGTTTTTTGTTACGCTCCCAAGGCTCCTTGAGGGCCCCCCTGAGGCTGAAAAGTGCCCCAATCCTGCCGTGAGCGTCGGCTCTCTGGGGCAGTTGCTCCTTCCAGGAGCTCGCTGCCTTCCCCACGAGCTGCTTCGGGCTCCGCCCTGCAGTTGCTGAGCCCTTGGCTGCCTCGGGATGCCTGCGGGCCCGTCGGTCCGCCCCCCCCCCCCCCCCCGAGGGCGGCCCTGACCCGAGCTCGCCTCTCGGCCTCTGCTCGCTCGCTCCCTCGCTCTGCTCTGGTGATGGGGGCCACAGACATGTGGAGGCCCTTTGTCTTCGACCCCTTGCTCCCAAACCTCAGGAGGGAAAGAAACACACGGACACAATTAATCGTCGACTCCCAGGAAAACATGCAAAAATATGGGAAGTGGTGGGGAAGACAAACCCAGAAAATATGGGAAAATATGGGGGATATTCTTATTTGTGTGTATTTATTTGTGTGTCCCAGTTTCCCTTTAAAACATGTGGAGGCCCTCTGTCTTCGACCCCCTTGCTCCCAAACCTCCCCCCCATTTCACAGTGGGGCTTCGGCCTCCCGCGGAGGCCCCGAGGGGGTTCCACTCCTGCTGCCCTCCTGCGCCTGTGCTGCCGGATGCCTGGGGCCAACTTTGGCACTGGGGCGGCGCGGCGTCCAGGGCTCCACCTTTTGGTCCACCCACGGTCCCTCTCTGAGATCCGACGCCGCAAAAAGCAGCTGCACCACCGCGAACAGGGTCACCACCCGAGCCCCGGGCCCCGGCTGAAGCTGCGGCACTCCTCGAGCCGCCCCGCTCCGTGAGGACCCTCGTGCTCGGATAGCCCCTGGCGGCATCGCCCTGCACGAAGACGTGCTCCAACGCCAGGAGCTCGAGCCCAGCCCAGAGCGCTGCAGGCCCGAGCGGCCCGGGTCCAGGGGAGCAGCTTTGTCTCATGGCTGCTTCGGCCCGACAGGCCCCGCTCGGGCTGTTTCCCCTAAGTTCGGAGGTCGATAGACCTCTTACCCTGACACGTCGATTGGCGAATTGGCCGTTTTCGGTTCGCGAGAGGGCGTCGCGGCCGTCATTTTTGCAGGCCCAGGTCCGTCGGTTTCGGTCCTAGGCCGTTCTCACCAAAGGGAGGTTTACTGAAGGGAGGTTTGTCCACCGCCCATACGTTTCTTGGTTCGATCAGGCTCGGCCTCACTGAATACTCAGCGCGTTGCACTCCCCCTTCGGGCCCTCCCGTTCCGTGCCGCTCCTGCTCACCACCCACCAAACCACCCCAGCCCAACCCGAAGGCCTCAATTTGCCCTCCATCTCCAGTGGTGGGGGGGTCGGGGAACCTCGAGAAAACCAGCGAGAAAACGCATATGGAACCCGTATCCCCCCCCGACTCGAAATTCGGGTTTGCGGGGTGGGTTGGGGTGGTCTGGTAGGTACTTTAGTAGTGAATCTCATTGGTTTTAGGGTTTGAACACATGGTCGCAGCCACGCAGAGGGCGTGCGTAGCGACGCCCCAGGTGCTCGGTCTCCAGTGCTTCTACGTGGCGGCGCCCCCGCAGGCACGCAGAGGGCACGCGTGGCGACGGGGGCGTCGCCACGCAGAGCCTCCGAAAGACCAAACCTTTTGAAAACCAATTGTTTCCACTACGAAAGCAGTCCAGATTTCGTAATAAAGGGAGGCGGGTCTCATTTCGGGGGGGGTCTCTTCCAGGCTATCTTGGAGGGCCTGGGGGGGTCTGGGGACGATGTTTTGGAGGGTTCTCCCATGGGGGAGGTCTGAAGCGGCTTGTCTTGGAGGGTCCAGACCCCCCCCTTTTTAATTACGAAATCTGGAGTAGTCACCTGCCGCCTCGGGCGCCCTCCCCGCCGCCACGCCATGGACCTCCGGGCCCCCCCCCCCCCCACCCGGGCATGGCGCCGCCCGCCGCAGGGCCGGGGGCGGGGACGCGCGGCCAGGCCGCCCAGAAACGGGCCCGAGGGTCCGCGGGAGTGCCACCAGGGGGCGGGGGAGTGGCGCGCCAGGACGTGCCGCAGGACGGCGAGGAGGAGGGCGAGGAGGAGGAGGGGGGGGGGAGGACAAGCTAGGTGCGCTCGCGTCAACATCTGGCATCCTGCCCCTCCCTCCCATCCCTTACCATGGCGCTGATTTTCTCTATCCGCGGGCGCGTGTCGTAGCGGACCTGTGGCTCCGCGCGCTTGTGCGTAGTGGGTGGTGGTGCGCGTGCGTGCGTGCGTGTGTGCGTGGTTGTGGTTGTTGTGGTGGTGGTTGTGTGTGTGTATGTGTGTGTGTGTGTGTGCGTGTGTGCGCGTGTGCTGTGGTGTGACGTGGTGTGGCGTCTTGGTGGTTTGGTGGTGGGCCAGGTGCGTACGTGCGTGATGGCGGTGGTGGTGGTGGCGGTGGTGGTATGTGTATGTGTGTGTGTGTGTCTCTGTGTGTGTGTGCGTGTGTATGTGTGTGTGTGTGTGTGTGTGTGTGTGTGTGTGTGCGTGTGCGTGTGCGTGTGCGTGTGCGTGCGTGCGTGTGTGTCTGTGTGTGCGCGCGTGTGATGTGGTGTGACGCGGTGTAGCGTGGTGGTGGTGGGTGGGGTAGTGCGGTGGTGGTGGCGGTGCGCGGTGGTGGTGCGCGTGCGTGCGTGCGTGCGTTGGTGGGTGGAAGTGGCGGTGGGTGTGCGTGCGGCGGGGCGGGGCGTGGTGCGGCGCGGTGGTGGCGGGCGGATGGGCGCGCGAGAAAGAGGCCCGCGCTGGGGCGAGAACGCCATCCTGAACGACGGAGGGAAAACACCGATCCGAAAATGAGGCCCACGCTGCAGCGGGAGCACGATTCGGAACGATTCGGGAGCAGGAATGAGGCCGGCGCCTCAGCGAGAGCAGCATTTTGAAAAAAAACGCAGGCGAAAACCCAACTCCCGGGAATCCTGTGTGTAAAAAACAGTACGCGGGGGGGGTCTACTATTTTCAGGCCGCCTTCGGGGGAAGAGGGAGAGCAGTATTCATATTGAATAATTGTGGAGGAGGAGGAGGAGGAGGCGGAGGAGGAGGCGGAGGAGGAGGAGGCGGAGGAGAAGGCGGAGGAGAAGGCGGAGGAGGAGGAGGAGGAGGCGGAGGAGGAGGAGGAGGGACCCAGAACGCCACAGTCTTAGGACTCCCAACGGTATAAAAAAGGAAGGGGAGACCTCCGCGGGACCCAGACCCCCTCGGGCCATGAAAGAAGCACGACGGAAGGCGTTTCGCTAGTTTCGGCCTCTGGGGACCAGCCCTCGGGGCCGTCAACAAAACGACTGAGGATGAGAAGCCGGTCCCGGGGAGTGGGTTGATATCTCCGGGGTCGACGCTCTGAAAAACAAATCATGACGTCGGGGGTCTGAGGACCAGGGGGATGGACATCGTGACGGGGGCCATCATCCTTTCCCTCATCTCGTGGCCCCGCTTCGGCTCCTTTCCATGCGGCCCGCGCGGTTGCCTCTTTGTCCGCGTGCCTCGGGCCATGATTTGCGAAGTCCCCCCGTGGACGCCCCCCTCTGAGGGTTTTTCGCTATGTTCGGCTTCCGGGGGCCCTCGCCAGGCCTCGGGAGTCGACTCAGGATGAAAAACCGGTCCCCGTGAATGGGCCCCGACCTGGGGGTCGCGTCATAAACAAAAATCATGACGTCGGGGATCTGCATGGGATCCTCGAGAGGGGTGCGTCCGAAGAGCCCCCTTTGGGGTGCATCCCAGGGTTCCCCTCCCTTCCTGAGCGGCCTCACCTCGGTCGAAAAGTTTGTGGTTTGGAGAGAAAAGTCGCCGGCGATGACCAGCGTGGGCCCCGGGGGTCCAGACCTTTTCCCCGGGGCCAGCTTTCCGTCCCGAGTCGTTCTGCGCACGCTCCCGAGGCCCAGCGAGGGCCCCCGGAGGCCCAACAGTGCCCGAGTCCCGCCGCTCCAGGTTGTCTTGGAACGTCGGGTCTCTGGGTCCCCGAGCCCTCTCCTCTGGCGCCCCCCGACCCGAGCCCGAGTGCTGCCTCCCCCCCCCCTCGGGGCCGCCCCCCTCGGGCGCGCCAGCCTCCCGCCGCCGCGCGCCCCACTGAGCGCTGGCACGGGTTTCGTCCCCCAGCCTGCAGCCGTCCTTCCCGACGTTTCGGCAGAGCACCGACCGTTGAGAAAGCATTGTTCGGCACCTTGAAAGGAGACATGGCGACCAATATGACGAACCAACAACACACACCCATACCCATAGGGGGGTCGGAGAGGGCTATGGGTGCGTGTTGTCGGATGGGGGTCCCCGCTCGAACGGGAGCGTTCCCCAGGGTCCGGCAACCCGCACCCATACCCATAGCCAGTCCTCCTCTCAACGACCCCCCTATGGGTATGGGTGTGTGTTGCTCGTTCGTCACAATAGTTCGATGCGTTCACGAGGGCACCGTGCTGCTCCGAGATTGGAGGACCC